CACCTGGATTTACACAACCGGGGGATTAGAGGAAGACGTCACCTTCTGACTCCCAATCCACTCATTATCCACGCTGGGTTAGTGTGTGTGTAGTAAGCACGTCAGCTGGCAGCCTTCTCATTCACGGATGACCGTGAAATTCTAAGGCCCGCACCACACACATGTAGCATAGGAGCTGCATGCGGAAAGAACTGAGGAGCAGACTTACCTACTGAGCCTAAATATTTCGGCAAATGTGACAGTTACCTACTTTGTCGCATACACTTACAAAGCTGGCTTGTTGACGCCCTCCTCTATCTACGTCCGCCAGCTTATCTCATCCCGGAATGTAGCGCTGCATTAAGGCAGCTCTAAAGCTTGTAGCGCTGTGTTTGTGCCTAATCTTCCAGGATGTCAGGTCCCTCTTTATTGGTTGCCTTCATTCTATCTCAAGTACGATTTTAACGCCGAATTAAGGCAGCGCTAAAGCTTGTATCTGATAATCCTGTATACATAAAGTATTGAAGGAAAGACTCACTTTCCAGGACTAAACTTATGAAAAGTTCGAAAACTAAGAATTTGGATGGCGCCTTGAGCCTATTGCCAAATAATGAAAGCCTCCAACACTACTGTCCTAGTACAATTGGTCTGTGCAGTTCAGTTATTGACTGGCCCGATCTATATATCGACTAAGGCTCAGAGGTAAGATAAACGCGTCCAACTTCTCGCTGTTCAAATTTCCCTCCACTAAATAAACCAGTAATAATACTTATTATGGAATGAAATTGTCCTTCATAGCTTGGGGGATTCTTAATAGTACAGGCAAGAACTTTGGCACATGTTATAACACTTCGATCTAAAAGTCCAAAATTCTTCAAAAGTACTCTATGGGCAATTTGAATAACTTTTAAAACACAATGTGTTGAGTTAAATTGACACTGCAGCAGGCACTCACTGTAAATGTGTGCAAATGGGCTCCCGAAAAGGCATCCATGAGCCAGAGATTGTTGCCATTTGTGGTTATCAGAAGAGTTTTCCCGTCGGGCGAAAATTTGAGACCGGTCCACTCGCAGCCCGGAACGTCCACGGCCAACTTGAATGTGGCGAAAGGACCCTTGTCGAAGGAGCGGAGATCGTAGAGCTTGACACACTCGGAGTTGATACCCGCGGCGAAGATGAGTCCCTCGGGATCGAAAGCAGCAGTCGGTCTCCCGGCCACATGCATCACACCCTAAAAGGTCACATTTAAAGGTAGCAATCAAGCGCTTGGCTGCATGTGCTATGAAAACCACACCAACGACACATTGAATGAATTTAAAAAATGGCAGAATTACGTGACAATTCTGGGATCGCAAGTCCCACAGTCTAACGGTACGGTCCAGGGCTCCTGAGAGGAAGGCGTCGTCGATAGGTGACATGCACAGGCAGACAACGCTAAAAGAATAAAGTTAAAGCTTTTCAAACAAATTACCGCTTAGTGTGGCTCTGGAAGTAGCGGATATACTTGTTGTCATGGAGGGACAAGTAACGGATGGTGTCTAGGAGGGAAGAAATGATTCCTCTCTGCGGGCAATCTTACCATCGACTTTAGTGGATGCGTGTATGGCTGTAGTGGGACTGTGAGTGAACTGGATTAGGTTCACGCCATACTTCTTGCTGTTCAGAGTACGCTTAGGCCTAAAAGAGAAGGAGAAGAAAAGCACTGACGTTTGTAAAACTCTTCAAAAGTGCATAGGACCAAACAAATGACAGGCAAGTTTGGAAAACTGAACACGTGCACATGAATATCAGTTGACGAGCTAAGGAACCGGTTCAGTTAAAAATTAATGCGTAAGTTCGCGATGATTATGAATATGGTGCATCCAATCCCCACACGCATTCACTCATCGCATGGGCCTCCTACATTCACCACGATGTCTATACACCCAGCACATCCTGCACATCCATCACTTATTCCGGCCCCGCTCCTTCATCCAGCGCGACCGTTACTACCCCCAACAACAACACCAGCTCCGTCGCTCGGACA